CAATTTTCGTTCATAATTCTGTTAAAAGCCTAGCTTGTTCACAGACATCTCTTCATTCAGGTATAGAGCTTTTACATATCAAAGTTTTTAATTGTGAAATGTTACAAAACATAGTTTCTGTATATTGTCCTCCGTCTGTACACACCACACAAACGGATTGGGAAAATATATTCAGTAATTTTGCTTCCAAATCCTTGATACTCGGTGATTTTAACGGCCATCACTCTAGTTGGTCTTCTAAAACGGACTTGAGAGGAAGTCAAATTTTTGATGCTTTAATAGATTATAATCTTATTACTTTGAACAGTGGAAATCCTACTAGAATTAAACTGGTTAATGGTATTTTGCAATCTTCATCTCCTGACCTATCAATAGTTTCAACAGACATAGCCTTAAAGTTTGAATGGCGTGTTACAAGTGAAACATTAGGTAGTGATCATTGTATTGTAAAGATTTCATCAGTCAGTAATAACTTGTTTCATTCTATTAAAGAAAGAAATTTTAAAAAAGCTGATTGGACATTGTACAGGACTCAGCTCCAGGAAGATTTTTCTCAATTTATGTATTCGAGTACTAATCTGCAGCAATCATATGATTTATTCGTGAACGTCATTAATAAAGCTGCTGATTGCTATATTCCTTACTATAAAATAAATCCAAATCCTTGTCATAGGTTTATACCCAAACCTTATTGGTGTGCAAATATATCAAAAGCAGTGGCAGAACGTCGTCTTGCCTTAGCATCATTTAGGCGTAATCCTACTCCTAATAACCTAGATAATCTTCAAAATAAAATCACTGAGGCGAGAAAATATATTCAGAATGCTAAACGGGAAGCATATCAAAAGTTCTGTTCAGGTATAGATAACGCAACGTCCGCAAGTGTGGTGTGGCAGCGAATGCGCTGGATAAAAGGGTGTCACAAAACTAATCAGACATATTATGTTGAAGAGAACCGGGTTAAAACACTTTTAGGTAGCCTTACTCCAGATTATGTGGTTAACAGGCAACCTTTATTTAAATCCAGTAATACTAAATTGTCTACCCCTATATCTGTACAGGAAATGGAAAAGGATATTAAATCATCTGATACAGCTCCTGGTTGCGATGACATTTCCTTTTCTATGATTAAAAATTTGCCTCAAAATGGCAAAATAGTTTTAACACGTTTGTATAATGATTTTTTCGATAGTGGCTTTGTTCCAGCTCAGTGGCGAGATACGCGTATTTTTCCAATAGCGAAATCAGGACGAGATCCCAACTCTGTGTCAGCTCTGAGACCTATAGCATTAATGTCATGTATATGTAAAGTTTTTCATTCAATTATTAATAAGCGATTAGAGTGGTATTTGGAAAAAAATGCAATGTTCTCGGAATATACTATTGGCTTTAGAAAGTCTAAATCTTGTTTGGATAATTTAGCCTATTTAATTTCAAAAATACAAGCAGGTTTTTTAAAAGGTTTTACTACCTTAAGTTGCTTTTTGGACATTAATAATGCATACAATAATGTCGATATTTATACATTATTACTATCTTTAGACAGACTAGGGGTAGGTTCAAATATCTGTTTGTATTTATGGAATTTTCTTAGTGAGAGATATTTAAAAGTTGTTACTAATGATGTTAATATTTGTAGACGTACTAGCCTTGGACTGGCTCAAGGTGATCCCTTGTCTCCATTATTATTTAATATTGCTACCATGGATGTCTGTAAATCGTTAAATTCTAGGGTGTGTTTTTCGCAATATGCAGATGATTATGTAATATTTGTTACTGATAAAAACATTAATAATTCTATTTATATTTTACAAGGCGCTCTCTTAGACTTTTCGAAGTCTCTTGAGAAACTTGGTTTAGAGGTTTCACCACAGAAAAGTAAAGTTTGTTTATTTAGAAAAAATGTAAAAAGACATGAAGTTCCTATTGAACTTAAGATTAATGATACTTCTTTAGATGTTGTTGATAATGTTAAGTATTTAGGATTGTGGTTAGATCGTTGCCTAAGATGGTCCAAACATATTAATGAATTGCAACAAAAATTGTTAAAGTTAATAAATTTATTTAAAGTTCTGTCTGGTCCAGGTTGGGGTGTTCATCCGACACATCTCAGACGTCTGTACATTTCCCTTGTCAGAAGCCGTTTTGATTATTCTTGCTTCTTATACGGCAATAGTTGTAATGCTCATTTAAATAAATTAGATAAAATTCAAAATCAGTGTATGCGAGTAATAGGGGGTTTCATTAAATCTTCGCCTATTCATGTTATGGAAAGCGAACTTTGTATACAACCTCTACATGTTAGAAGATCATTTTTAGCTGGCAAATATTTTTGCAAAACTATATCTTGGGGTGGTTCATTTATTTATAAATCTATTCAGGAATTGCAAGATTTGTGGGCAAATTCCTGCACAGGTAGACGGAAAAAACCGCTACTAATTGAAGCATATGATTACTTCAAGGATGTTCGCGTACAAAGTACGCAAGTTTTAGATATATTTTCTTTAGATACTTGGACTACCAGTATCGATCTTTCTGAAAATATCATTTGTGATATTAAGTCAGTGAATAAGCCAAAACGCTCTTTTAGTCACTTAATTTTAAAGGAAATCTGTGATTTGAGTATTAATGAAAATTACGCAGACTTTTATAAAATGTTTACAGATGCTTCGAAAAATAATACATCAAATACACTTGGGGCAGCTTTCTTTGATATACAAACGAAAGACTTTATAAAACTCCAGATAAACTCTAATATTTCGATAATGTATGCAGAACTTATTGCCATATCAGAAGCCCTTTCATATATTCAGTCAATTTCATGTAATAAATTCGTCATATTCTGTGACTCTAAAAGTGCCCTTCAGCATTTGGTTCGGTGCACTTCGGGCTTGAGAGGAACCCCCATAGCTTTCACGATTATCAAATTAATGATGGACATTTTATCTTCTTCTAAATTAGTCATTCTACAATGGATACCCTCACATGTTGGTGTCGACGGGAATGAAATAGCTGACGGATTGGCTACAGAGGCGTCTCACAGCGGAATATGTATGGATGTTTTACCTTGTTATTCTGATTGCACTTACATTGTTAAACAAAAATCTTATTCACTTTGGAAAGAATACTTTGATGAACGGTCCAAACATGTGGGAATATGGTATAAAATTGTCCAATCACAACCTTGGAAAGCTCCTTGGTTTGAAATATCTAACCTAGACAGACAAGATATTGTACTGTTGTTTAGGCTACGTTCTGGTCACATTCCGCTGAATAAATTTGCCTTCCTAATGCGAAAAAACGATTCTCCGAAATGTTATGTTTGCGGTAAAGTTGAAGACGTACATCATATTTTAGCGGAGTGTGATCGGAATAAGGAGTTAAGACATCGATTTTTTGGTAAAGAATGTTACAATATAGGTTTTTATATAAATTTTCTATCGTCTCCACTGTGTGAAAGAGCTAAAGTACTTATTAGTTTAGTTAAAGAGGGTCTAAGGCGGAGATCATCTTTGCCTTAATTCTTCTTTTTAAGTATTTCAATTTATTTTTGCTTTATATACGGAGCGTCATATTTGTAACTGCAAATAAGCTCTTTTAAATAAAGATAAAAAAAAAAAAAAGTTTAATACATAAATATAAAACAATTTAAAACATAAAAAGCTTATTCAAAGTGGTCTCCATTGGCTGCAATACAGTCCTTTTAACGTTGAGGCCAGTTATCAATAGAAGCACGCACTCTTTCCATGGGAAAATTCTTCACTGCCAATCGTATGGATTGTTTTAGGGAGTCCAAATTATCATGATGTTTAGAGCAAGTCCTACTCTCTAAAACGGACCATAAATCATAATCCAGCGGATTGAGATCGGAACTAGACGACGGCCAGTCTTCAGCTCTGATGAAGTCGGAAACGTTCGTTTCCAACCAAGACAGCGTGGACCGAGCTTTATGACCCGGCGCCGACTATATATATATATAGTAGTTGGTTTTATACATATATAACATCGATCACTAATAAAGAAATATAAGTATTGTATTTTAATAAGCATTTATCTAAAATTGTACACTACCCATATTTCAGACTCCTATTATAGTTTCATCCAAAGGTCTGTAAGAGATCGCCTTGTGCGATATGACCGCCCATTGTACACTCAATGTTTGTAAGCTATCCTTTATAACAATGTGGTGTACAATAAAGTATATAATAAATAAAGGTCGCGAAATATTTGCAAAAAACTGATTTTCGGGACCTTTTGACCTCTGTAACTTTTTTAGCCGACACGATATCGATGTCGATTTTTCACAACTTCATAATAACGCCGTAATAAAGGTGTATACAAAAATTCAGCTCACTAGGAATTTTTCCCCAGATGAAACCTAAAATGACTGGACTATAGGTATAATTGTAAAAATAAAAATAATTCAATGGTTAGGAACTCAAAGAGATAGGAGAGTCACCAAAACCACCCACAAAACTCATAATCGGTATTCAATCATGTTTTATTATTTATTATTTTAAATATTTGGACTTATACAATACAATTCGGACATCTTTCATGCTTTCATTAGCGATGGGTCGTTGAAGGATTTTCCGTCAACGAAACGTTAACGTTAAATTGCGTTCGTCAACTAGTTAACGTGTTACGAACGTCAATTTGCATGTACGATAAACGCCTAAACGCTTTTATTAACGTAACCTGTAGTAATGTTAAATAACAAACAATTTGATGCAATTTAATTTTTTTCAGGCATTCCAATTCCATTCCAATCAACTAGTTGAATTCGTTGATTGACTGATTAATTTGCTATAAAACAAAAATTTCAGGTGTATTTAGAAGATCATCTCATGAAACGAGTTGAGTTCCTTAACATTACATACTTTGTCTCGTAACTCGTTGACGAATTCAACTAGTTGATTGGTACACGGTCAACTGAAATTCCGTTGAAGAGACATCACCGTTAAATGAACTATTAGTTATATATAGTTATAGTATAGTTCGTTGATTCAACGCCCATCCCTAGCTTTCATGTCAAAATTGACATTGGTCATCCGTCATATGTCATAATTAATGTAAAGATCAATGAATGATCAATGCGGGCAAGAAATGAATATTTAAAATTAGATGAAATTCTATAAATAATTGATAAAACATGGGATCACGACAAATTACTGAGAAATCTCTGTCTATGTTAAGATCATTACCGAGAATTTCTCTTGGTAATATTCGTAACAACCCAAAATCCAAGCCAAATGTAAGTTGTTTTGCTACATTGTTAAAATAACCTACACGATCATACATACAGCTTATTAATTATTTTTAATTGTTCTGTTGTTGCAGCCTAAAAGAGGCCGCGGTCAACACGGAGGTGACAAGCATGGCGCTGGTAATAAAGGATCGGGCCAACGGCAAAACTATATGAGATTAGGTTACGAAACTGGAAACAACCCATTTTATCTGAGAGTTCCTCAAGAACATTATTACAGAGGCCATCAGTAAGTTAAACTTTTCTTTTAAGATTTTCTTATATTCAGACATTTGGAAGAGCCCACATGTCACACAATAAACAAACATTTGGTAATATTTTTTTGTTTTATACTTGTAAGATAATCATATTAGAAAACAGCTTGTCATGTAACCTAGGAGACCAAAAATTGTATAGGAATAATACTATGTTCTTGTTATGTCATTTTTTTTCAAATTGGTGAAAATTATCAGTATAATTTAAGTTACCTAAAATTGATTTCTTTTTCAGTCTCCGGAGAGAATATCCCCCACTGTCATTGCATCAACTTCAGAGTATTATTGACAGAGATCGTTTGGATATAACTAAACCAATAGATATTGCTAGTATTATCAGGTCAGGTCTCTACAATTTTTTCCCTGATCAGAAGCAATTTGGGGTCCAACTCACTGATGAAGGAGCAGATTTTTTTGCAGCTAAGATAAATATTGAAGTGCAGTGGGCAAGTGAACAAGTTATTGCTGCTATTGAGAAAAATGGTGGTGTTATTACAACTGCTTATTATGATCCTCATAGTTTAATGTTACTCAAGAACCCTAAAAAGTTTTTCGAGTCAGGTCAAGCTATACCTCGGAGGATGATTCCACCACCTGATGCTATTGAATACTACACAAGTGCTAAGACCCGTGGTTATCTGGCTGATCCAGAAGAAATATCAAAGGAAAGGCTTAGACTATCTCAGAAATATGGGTATACTTTACCGAACATTGAAAATGAACCAAATTACAATATGTTAAGTGAGCGGAAAGATCCAAGACAAATATTTTATGGATTAGAACCTGGTTGGGTTATCAATTTGAAGGAAAAGTGTATTCTCAAGCCTAAAGATTTAGAATTGCTACAATTCTACAGTACATAATATAGTAAAGGATTGGTAAATATAGGCACATAGTTGTTATATGTTGTTATTATTTTCTGCATCATCTTCACCTCATTGCCATGTAACTCGCTATAGCTAGCTAAGAAAATGTTATTATTTACTGCAACTTTTAGAAGTAAGCAAGCTTGTTGCAGTCACACTGAAAAATCATCCGATATCTTCTCTCCCTCTGAGTGGGAAGGAAGGAGTGTCAGACACTTACTGGCTACAAAATACCCTGTTCCTTTTTCTGCGATCCAGGCCTCGGTACATCATTGTGCAACTGCACCACCCGGACAGTGCTAGACGCATCCTTGAATTTTTGATACACAATTTTATTCAACCTTTGACCTCGACGTGCATTACATTTTAACAACCAGTATAGGTCATAAAATGTGGTTTGTCTAATTTTTTTTTTTTTTGTTAGCCCAACATTTGATTTTGAAGATAGGTTAACGAATAATGTTACTTGTATATTAATTTACATAAAGAATAATATCTTTGCTAAATTCGTTTTCCGTTGACGTATCGCGTAACGCGCACAACAAAACAATATATTAAGGATCACGACACGACTTTAATATTCGGCAGACTATTTAAAAGCAGAGGTGTTGGTGTTAAAAGTATTTCAGATACCTTTTACATTACTACTGATAAAATGGATCCGTTGCACTTCTGCTTTTAAATAGTCTGCCTGAGTCTGCCGAATAAAGTCATGTCGTGATCCTTAATATATTGTTTTGTTGTGCGCTCAATATATTGTTTTCTCTCTTTTGAAGTCCCAAAGAAGTTTGAAAAGAAAATTCGGCAATAGGGGGATTTAATCCGAATATTGGGTTGATCCACAAGTATGACAACGTAACGACAACCTACGTAAGGTTTTAAGTAACCAGCATTTCTATTGTATACCCTTAGTTTAGCAATCGCATTTACAGTCACAACCTATAAAGGATCCTAGGTACTCATTTGGAAAACAATTTTTTCCGTGGTCAGGTCTGTTATTAGGAATTTAAGGATTGAGCGCGGGTGGAAGAATTAGCCTCTGATAATCTTACTCATGCTTGGCGCTTGTGGACTATGAGAAGGCCTTTGATTCGATCGAGACTTGGGCAGTGTTAAGATCTCTCCAGCGGTGCCATATTGACTTTCGGTATATCGAAGTTTTGAAGTGCTTGTACACAAACGCCACTATGTCGGTCCAAGTACAGAACCAGAGCACAAAGGATATTCCTCTGCAGCGAGGTGTAAGGTAAGAAGACATCATATCTCCGAAACTGTTTACGGACACCTCCGGTTTACGGACGACATTGTGGCCCTGGCAGAATCGCTGGAGGATCTGAGCACAATGCTCGATAACCTCCGTAGAGTTCACAACAGGTAGGGCTCCGAATGAACGTGGACAAGACGAAAGTCATGTCACGTCCTATCCATATCAGTATATATAGGTAGTTCTCGCAATTTTAACATTTCCTTATGAGATACAAGACTCCCAGTGTGAGTCGTCTCAAAATTCAAAGTCAAATCATTTATTTCAAATAGACCACTGTAGGCACTTTTGAAGGTCAAACAAAAAATGTATTTCAAAAAGTTGAACTTTGTGTGTCAGTCTGTCGATCTGTCCTCTAGTGATGCTATTTTTATTTGTCCTCTCCGGGGAGGCGGCCAACCTGCTTGCCGGATCGCCGCTATGGGACCTGGAGGCGAAGTCGCTATCGCGGGTTTTTAGTTAGCGCACTGAGGCATGTCGCCAGAGAAACTTGCGCGACAGATTAGTGAGTGGCGGGATGATCTCCGGTGCGATCTCAGGGCGGGATGACAGCAGCGACTGTCCCAAACGAGGACCAGGCATACTGTTATAGTAGCGTTAGGATCCTTCTTTGGGAAGTGGGTTGTCCATCTGACGCATATGCTTCCGGACACAGGAGTTTCGGAACCTGTGACCTCAGGAAAGTTATCGACGGCGGCGACCTCTAGTGCCTGGCCTTTGTCGATGGGAAGTTGTCTCCTCAATCATTCCGCTCCTCAGTCCCTAAATCCCCAACAGGTCAGCAACGCAATCGTAACTCCAGCGGTGTGTCCATGGACGGCGCTGATTGCTTACTACCAGGAAAAAATTCAAACAAGGCATACCTATACCTCAGAATCGTGCGTACATTGCTGCGGCTCGCATGCACTAACCCTACTCTGACCCACTATTCTGCCGGCTTCAGGTGCAAGCACAATACTGCACGGCAATTAGCCAATTAGAACTCAATATCCGGAGCAACACCCGGTTTCTGAAAGGCTCAGAAATTAACTAATCTTCTGTTAAATGTTGACTGAATTATCAACAACCAATCAGATGACTTGACAAGAGATTAAATTGATTTTAACATTGATCGGCGTTTCAGAAACCGAGTGTTAGTCTGTTACTCCTCGTTCCACCCAGGGCAAAGGCATCATTCATTTAATGATCTTTCTACATCAAAAAAGGGCGGCTTCAAAAAAAAAAACTATGATTCTGTTGTACATTTATTCACATTCTCAAGAACCGCAAACCGTTAGTCTAAATCAGCTTTAATCAGAAGATACGTTATATTTACTGCCTTGCTGTTACTAGTACTACTGTACTGACACAAATTGAAATTAATCCACTGATACATATATGTATTTCTTCAAAGTTATTCTTACATTCAATCATGATACAAATTACAAGAAAGTGTAATGCTCAACACAAAAATTAATATCTGTAGTGGTCTGGTTTGTATGGTCCCTCGACAGGAACGCCGATGTATTTAGCTTGTTTAGGTGTGAGCTTAGTTAGTTTTACACCAAGATGGTCCAAATGTAGGGCAGCCACTTCTTCATCTAACTTCTTAGGCAATGTATGAACTCCAACAGGGTACACATTGTGCCTTGTCCAGAGTTCAATTTGAGCCAGAACTTGGTTTGTGAAAGAGTTTGACATAACAAATGATGAATGTCCTGTGGCGCATCCCAAATTAACAAGACGTCCAGCCGCCAAGACAATTATGTGATTTCCATTGTCAAGTTCGTAGCGGTCTACTTGTGGTTTAATGTTTACTTTCTTTGCATTGTTTTCGAGCCAAGCGACATCTACTTCACAGTCGAAGTGACCAATATTGCACACAATTGCATCATCTTTCATTTTCAAGAAATGTTCCTTGCAAATGATGTCTAGATTTCCTGTAGTCGTAACAAATATTTGTCCCACTTCGGCAGCCTCATCCATGGTCGTCACTTGGAACCCTTCCATAGCTGCTTGTAGGGCATTAATGGGGTCTATTTCAGTAACAATGACTCTACCTCCAAAACCTTTGAATGCTTGAGCGCATCCTTTACCCACATCACCATAGCCCGCAACTACGCAAACCTTTCCAGCAACCATAATATCTGTTGCTCTTTTAATTCCATCTAACAATGATTCTCTGCAACCATACAAATTATCGAATTTGCTCTTGGTGACCGAGTCATTCACATTGATGGCAGGTACCTTCAGTAGGCCTTCACGGAACATTTTATACAAATTGTGTACACCGGTAGTGGTTTCTTCAGAAATACCCTTGATGCCTTCTAAATATTGTGGGAACTTCTTATGAACCAAGTTTGTTAAGTCGCCGCCATCATCCAGGATCATGTTAAGCGGCTGAAAAGATAACACAAATGTATTTAAATTAAAGCAGTCTGTCTAGGGAAGTTTAAAGCCAATTGAATAACGAGATACTAACTTCATAACTTTTGCGTTTCATATTTACAACATATAATTACGCGGAAATGTTAACCCGAAAAATAATTATTAAGCAGACTGCTTGCGACCACGACTTGTGCAAACAGGTCGAAACGTCACACGTACAAAGGTATTTAAATAATTATTTTTCGCGTTAATACCCGGGTAGTTTTATATTGATAAGAGGGAGAAAACGAGATGTCTACGTTTACTGGGTCCGAGAAGTTTAATACGAAATAATATAAATTCAATTAAATATGAAGGACGTCGCAACCACGTCGGCTTTACTAGGCTTGGGAGGTGACGGCCCTTGCCTAGTATCCTGTTTAAAAGAAATCTTCAACACCCAGTGATCGACCCGCGCCTTTGAGACTGCCCATGTCTACCTACATCTACGCCACACTACGCGACGGCGCAGCTACTTAATAGTGATAATTGATATTTTGAATACGAATAAGTTCTCGAGTGAGTTAACTTAACTCGTGTGTGTGTGCAACTGCATTCACACTTTTAATTACCTACAGTTAAAAATCTTTAATACCACTCTACCCACGTCTTAAGGAAAAGTACATTAAGGTTATAATAATAGCAATATTGTCCTGTAAGAAGTAGTAAACATGTAGGTAGAAAAACCCATTATTTACCTTTCCATTTGGAAATACTAATGTCTGCTCAATGCACCACACATATTCCTCTTCAGTTTCTCCCTTCCAGGCGTAGATCGGGATACCGACTGCAACCAAAGCTGCAGCAGCTTCATCCTGCGTACTGTAGATGTTGCTGCTCGACCACTGTACCTGTAATAAGAAATTATTCGTGACTTTTAAACAAAGTTTTGTATCACATATCATTATTTATTCACATAAGATAGGTATAGTCACTACTGTTTTACATGATAACAATAGTATCTACACAAAGGAATAGAAGAAAACGTTAGGTACTTTAACGGAAATGACTACACATAAACATATTACCAATTGAATACAAATAATTCATGAATTGCAAAAACTATTTCATAATATTTGAAGCAAACATATAGATCTCTGATCAGAGGTTAACGATAAGAAAGGTCAAGAGGCGATGATAAATATCAGCATAATTCTTACACATTATTTACATTAATAACAAAAATAAGATAACAAAATTTATTCTTTAATCTTTGACACCTTCTTATTCATCATATGTAATAATAAACACATTGTTACTAATCTTTTTACGTCTTTTGTTGATAGTTCTAACTTATTTGGAGTGACTAGCACAGCTACACAGAAGTTGAGACAAAAGTCAAGAGTAACATTACCATATTCATAGCATAGTTACTTCGATATTATGCTGAAATTAATAGATAACTCATAGGGTATCATTATATTGAAGGAGAAAACAACTAATTTTGCAATTAATATTTATGAAACATGTAAAAAAGTTTTGTTTTTTTAATAATACCTATACAATATGGGTAGCTACTCGAATAATCAAATAATTTATTTATGGTAAAAAATTACAAATCGTTCTGTTATTTAACGGAAATAATCTGTTGGTGAATTACTTTTTCCAACCAAGATAAGCAATCTTCAATTAATTTAACTCTCAATAATAC